ACCATTAAAAGCTTTACAGTAACAGATTACAGTCTCATGAGCTGAACCTGCCGTCAACCAGCAGGTACCATTTGAAAACATGTAGCAGAGGGACCTTTAAAGAGCTTTCTACTTCCAGCGAGACGACGCTATTGAAGCAGTTGGACCTTTGACAGGACGTCAAGTTTGAGGGCAAGAAAAATGCAACAAAGTACAAATAAACCAAGTAGCTAAAACTAAAGCAGGATAATACAACTGTCATGGAGGAGATCCCGCCATTATTATGACTGTAAATAAGCAGCCTCTTACTGCAGTGTGTGTTGTATGTGACTGCTTTAGTTCTAGCTGGTTAGTGCATCTAATGAACTGCCTGGTGAGTTTAGGCTCTAACTACCAAAGAAATAAAAACACTGGCCAATCCAGCTTCTTTTATTCAGAAAGGATCATTTCAAACTGTGACTCATAGCTTTGTCATTAGTCATGCTAGCCCTGTCCCAGCTTCCTGAATTCAGAGGCTGGGTTTCGAGAGGCTTTGGCGCAATGACATAGGACGACAGAGAAGAAAAAACAGAAAACCACAGACCGGAAAAATTTCTTCTTGCGATTATTAAAAGTACATCACATCTGCAGATGAGGGACAGCCCTACACCTTTGACAGTGACAGCTTTGTTTGTTATGATGTGGTGCCCACCCACAGGGCACTTAGGAGGAACTGGATGTTGTACATGTTCGGATCCTCGCCGCTACTAAATCACAACCAAGTGGAACAACTAAAGGACTAAAGGTGTACTCACACTTGTCCTCGTGTGCCTGCACTCAGGCCCGAGTATGTTTCTGGAGGTTATGCTCTGAAGATTTTCTTCCAATTTTTCCTTAAACCCAAACTCAAACATCTCCTCTCCACTCAGAGACACGTGCTACAGTTCACGTTATAAAGTTTAAAGTTAAAGACAGGCACACTTACAGTGAAACCTTGTTCTTTATTTACCACTGATTTATTGGTTAATAACTGAGATGTTGAAGCAGCGTTTCAGCTACGGACCCATGGCCACCTGTTTTCTTCTAACAGGTACACACTGGTCAAAACAACTGAACGCTGGGAGGAGCAGCTCAGTGCGAGTACACTCTTAGGCACCTGAGCAAGCTGACATTTCTTGTCCCAACACAAGGTCTTGTGGCTGTACAGTGTTTATGAGGATTTTTATACTGTCAAAGCAACAAGGGGCAAAGATTAAGAGGACAAACTTTAGTTTGTGATGACTGATGAAGTCATACAGATGATTACAGTTTGGTCAGCTATAGGTCTTGTAATTAATGTTGAGGCTGATGAGATCAAAACATATCTTTTTGTTTTTAGAGGGCTAAGAAAAATGCAGAACAATCCATTTACAAAAGGAAAAAAAAAAAAACACAATATGAAGGCGCATTTAAAACACAGGAGGGAAAAAATTTAATCTTTTACCGTGAGATTGACAGCTTGACTTCACTCATCAAAACCACGGCATATTAATGTGTTAAAAGTTGCCAACACCTCCATTGCTCAGTTTAAGGAGGGAGCCTGTATGCTGTGAAGCCATGCAGGCTGATACGATTACTGAAGCTGGATGTGGACTTGGGTCATAGTGCTACTATTTCATTAATCTTTCTGAGAAGACTATATTGACTCCGTCTTCCTCAGAACTGCCAACTCCAACCCCTCTGCACATAGGCACTAAAAATTAAACATAAAAGACAAACTGAAATGATTCTAACTAACAGCTGACCCAATTCTGGCTGGTTGCAGTAAACTCTGGGCCCTGTGGCTCTCACATGGAGGTTGAAGTGTGGGTTTAGGTTTAGCTGCCGAAGCCAAAAATGCCCTTGATGTAGCCAGTCAGACCGCCCTTGCCCTTCTGTTCCACCTTGTCATCCAGCGGTGGGAAGGCCACATGGTTAAGAGCAAGGTCAAAGAACAGAGGCTTGCAGGGGATTGGCTGGAAGTCGGGTGGGAACTGGACCAGACTGGGCTGTTTTCCGACGAGACTGGGGTCAAAGCGGAAGGTCTCCAGGTGGTCACAGAGGGGCTGCGCGAAAAAGAAGTGAGGAGATGAGAGCACTGGAATCATAGGGAACAGAAAGTTCAGCTAAATGAAGAAATAAAATAAAAAAGCAGCAGGAAATGGAGTGATGACAACCTCATCAAACTGCATTTCTTGTCACAAATGTTAAAATGGCAGATCACATCAAACATGGACACAAATTAAAATGATGAGATTAGCATATGTGCAAATAATCCCTTGCTGCTCCAAACACTCATTTTCCAAAAAGAGGATATCCCTAATCTCAGCTCTGTCTGTTAGAGCACAAGCCCCGCCCTTTGTTCTTCAAATATTGTGTCTGTGATGGGCAACCAATCAGAAGAAAGCTGGCCTGACACGAGAGGAGCAGAAACTGCTTGCGTTAGGCCAAGGCCAGCATGACAGATAAGATTTCGAACTTTGACTCATGCAACTAAAGCTACTGCAGAGCAGACTGTGACAGATCCACTCAAACTTATTCCAGTTATTGAAATTCCTAAAAATCAAGTTTTATCACAAAAATAGATCAACGTTAAATGACATCATCAAAACCACTTTTCAAGTTTTTATGTTGCAGTTTGTTAGACGCAAATATACAAATTAAGCTTCACCTCGGCTCTTCAGGAGTAATATGACCGATAAGTAATTAATCCACAGAGCTCGTTTATTTTATTCGTACAGACACAAACGTGCAAGAACCATGTGTCTGTGCACGGCTGTAGCGTTGAGCAGCCTGAGGCTTCCTCCTCTTACCGTGTTGTCTTTCACCAGCTGCTGAGGAACTTCAACTATCTCGTCGGTGTCTGAAACACAAACACATCTCTTCAGGACTGTACAACAGAGAAGACGACTGCTGGTTTAACTGTTTAACGACTTAGAGGCTCGCACCTAAAATGGCAGCAGCTTGAAGTGAGTATTTTTCAGCGTTGACCTCAGCAATGAGCTCCTGGACATCGGGGAGATCCTGCAGAAATTCACGATGAATGTAAATGAACGTAGCGCAGTGATATTTTTGTTAAACTTTGATGTACTGTGTGTTCGGGTCTCATTGCATTTTTCTAACAAACAACATGGTTTGCTGCACAGTTACTTATACTAACTAAAAATCTAGCAATTTATTAGTGTTACTTAGAACAGATTAGCAGGCATCTGCATCTTTGTGATCCATAAAACTTTTTAATAACATCTATTTGTCTAAATATAATGTGTTGTAAATAACTAAAATGGCAACCTAGATAAAGATGAGGCTTTGAAAAGAGGCCTCCACAATGAGTAACGCCATGACTCATGTTTGAGGTGTGTGTGTGTTTGCTTGCATGTTAAACCAACCTTGAGGCTGTTGTTGAGGCTCTTGGCCTTAGATTGGACTTCCTTGGCATATTTCAGCACCCTTTCATACAACACCAGCGCCTCACTCCACTTCTTCACTAACACATAAGACTGGGCTATAAAGAAACACCTGCAGGAGGCCAAAGAAAGCAGCTCATTAACAACATGTGGGTTTATGAACTGCAGAAGCTTTCATGGAAATCTGAAATGGAACAAAGCTTAGAGATACTTTTCACATCAGGACGCAGGTGTATTTGCGTATTTGCGATTGTAAATACGACACTTGTTGCACTGTTTGAATTTCAGCTGCATTGTTTGATGCAGAACATGTTGAAAACCAGGCACAAAAACACTGACCTGTAGGCCTTGTAGACCAGGGTCTTCAGGGACACCTCCTTTTGGAAGGTGTGGTCATCCTCCAGACCCTGCAGGGTGGAGAGCTCTGCCAGACTCTGGATAGTTGGAGGAGGTGGTGGGGGAAAAAAAACAAAAACACAAGATGCACATCATGTAACTGTGGTAACACAAACATCAGGCTGTACACCTAAGACCTTTGCTTTTTCAATAGAACCACACAACTTAGAGACAGAACTTGATAACAGGACATTCACCTGCAGGATGATGTCATACAGGCGGATGAGATCCTGTGGACGGGGCCCCCTCTTGCTCTCGTCCGCCTCGGGCTCCTTCAGTTTGGCCTGCAGAGTATGAGCCATGCTCTCATTCCTCTTCACCAGTGTACACAGCTTAATGTAGGTCAGGTAGCTGGGAGAGAAGAGCAGCAGTGATTATTCACTTACAGCGTGCGATCCCTTTAAACTCATCAGGTCTGTAAACCTCGGCTGAATCAACTGCAGACATCGTCAGGAACCATTAACATGCCTCACAGGCGCTCTGCAAGTTGAACCAGACTCACCCGACACGCGTTCAGCCTAATGATGCCCAGACCTGACAGGTTTATACATGTCTGTCTATCAAAAGATGTTAGAAGTTGCTAGTAATGTTTCCAAACAGCCAAATGTTCTCTGATTTCATCCTCCCAAAAGTGAGCATGTGTTTGTAATTTCACAATAAACTGAAGATCTGTGTGTTACAGTGTTGTCTGCATGAAGAGACGAGGAGGGGAATGATCAAAGTGTTATTGACTTACTGAGATAAGCGGTAAAGCATTTAGCTGCAGCTCTAATCCTATGACTGACTAACTTAACAGAACCAGGAGTAAAATCGAAGTACATTTTTCTTCCTTTTTTACCTGTGCAGGTACTGCAGGTTGGACACCTTCCCAGTGTCACCATCAGAGCTCCTCTCTCGCTGTTTCTACAGTGATAAAAAATTGATAGATTTACAAAAAGGGAAAAAAAAAAAAAAAAAAAAGCTCTTTAGTTGAACCTTCTAGTATTCCCAGTTTCAGGTATTTACAAGCTACATCTTCACCACCTCTCATTCTTGTCAACATCACAGCTTTTCATCCTGCTGAATCTTACCGCCTCAGTCTTGAGCTCCTCTTTCACTGCCTGGATGGTGTCTCTGCACTCGGCCAGCAGGGTCTCATACAGATGTTCTTTGGTTTCCTCATTAGCTGCCTGAATGACACAAACAGATCCAAAGATGAGGATAAAGGAAAAAAAATAATGTAGAACTTACTGAATAGTAGAGAAGGAGGGAGACGGGCGTGTTTCACATTCTAAGCAGAGAAACGTCTCAGATCGTACCAGCACGGTCTTTACATTTTTTAAAAGATCATAGATTGAATGCAACTAAATGTCTAAGTTGGCAACAATGAGGAAAACCCAGGGGGTGAAGCCTATGTGTGAGGATGGCACATGCTGAAGATGAGATGATGTACAATAGATGACTCTGGAAAGTAAAAACAGAGTACCTATCAAAAATGCAGGTTCAGCAGTAACACGACACACTGAACGCACTGAAGCAGTTTTTCAGCCTCCAGTTTGGCTTCCATGTATCTCCTTACTTCATTCAGCTCTCTGTACAGGTCAGCTAGGAACATACTTTAACACTTTCAGTTGCTTATCTTCTGCTTTCTTGTAGCTACAAAGACTGCTTTCGGCTAAAAGAACACTCAATACTCTGAGGCCATCCTAGGCACACACAGGCAGAGCGGAGAAGGGGAGGAAGCAGTCGCGCCTCTTAACATGCAGACTGAAAGTGGAGATGTTCACAAATCCCTTTTATGCTTTTTGTAGAATAACTTCCAAGCAGATTTACGCAGCGATAGCAGCCATTTAACCAGACTGATGAGATTTGGCTGAAACTTGATCAGATCATAAAAGGTTTCTACCAGATTGTGCAGACGTATCTCATTTAAAACGCGATCAAGCAAACATTTGATGCATGTAACAGTTTTAGTACTTTGATACAAAGAGCAACAGTTAAAGCAGGAATGCGACTGACAAACTCGGGGAGAGACGCAGGTATGTGGCCCGGCAGGCTGATGATGCATTCCTGCACATAACTCATCAGCAGTTAAGACACTGTATAGTTTCAGGGTTCAGGTCTTTAAGAATGACACGATTGTTCATCATCTAAGCCGTCTTTCATCACCACACTAATACAACAGGCCTGTGTTAAACTGAGATAGTCTCATAAAGATGCAGGATGGGTTTTACTAACACTGGAAAAAAGCAAAGTGTGAGCAATAAAACAATTACACAAGGACTGATCACTCATAAAAATATCTGTTTTAAGTATTTAAAAGATTTTGTGGATTACATTACTGTGTCTCTGCTGTTGCGAAAAGTTGAGAAAACACAATAGAGGAACGTTACAAAACAATTCCTTGTGGTGGCAAACCTGATAACAGATTGTTCACAAGCCTTCTCTCTCCCACCCAGAAAGCTGATGCTGCTACGCGTTTCACACTTGTGCCAACACCCTAGTAAGGCCTAGAACAGCCAGTTCTACCTGTTGAGCATTCTGTGCTGTTCGGCAGGAGGGCTGGATGGAGACACTGGTTAGAGGAGGAAACAGCCCTTCAACTAGGGTTGACATTTGGCCCTACAGTGTCTCCTGTCCCCTGAGGCCACAAGCAGAAGAACAGGTGCACATTGTGAAGCTAAAGGTGCTAGAGCTGTGACACAATATAATGTGCATACTATGCAAAAATCCTTTAATTGTGACCAATAAGAAAAGCCAAATGTGATAAAAACTGCCAGCGCCGCAGTTCTTCTCCACACAGTCAATCACAGCCACCTTTAACCGCCTTTTATGCGACAGTCAGACCTAAAATGCTCCATCTGAAACTAAAATGAGCTGCTGGGTGTAGCCCTGCATTCATGTGCGAGGTGAAATGCGTAGAATGCAGTTGTGTGATGAGAGCAGCTGCATGCCTGAGACCTGAGTGGCAATGGGTGTGACAGGTGTGTCTGCAGGGTGTGCTGAGTACTCGGGCACAAAACAGAAGGAATGAGCTGTGGCGACAGCGAGGGGACATGTGATACTATCAAGAACAGAGTGCCACCTACTGAGATTTTATGGAACTGCACTGAGTGCTCTCAGGGTTGTTTTATGGTTTTATTAAACCGTTTTAATGCTTGACGAGTACCCGACAGCCTCCAGCAGGATGAAAGATTATTTAGTTAAGAAGAAACTTTTATGCTTTTACTTATTTCCTCTCATATATTCACTTTTACTGTACCGGACAGTCACTGAAAACATGCAAAGGTTTTGGATATCGAGCTCATCTATATCAGGGACGTCAAACTCATTTTACATTGTGATCTGTTTACATACTTTGATCTTAAGCGAGGCGGACAAGTGAAACTCCCCTTGCTGTCATTGTAAACAAGTGGAACTACACATTTAATCAATGAGACGTCTTAATAAAAGAAAAAGTGTTTTCAGTACATGATAAAGAAATGCCGCTGTAGTAAATTAAAGAATCTGTCAGCACGACTCTTTAGGCTTCAATTACAGAAAATTAATATGTAAAATTACAAAAAGTTATAAAACAAAGTGTTAATTCACAGAAATTTTAATTTTACTCTGAATTCACTGAAAAAGAACCATAGTTTCTTTTATTTCTCTTATAGATAGTGAAAGTAGTCATTTAATTGCTTTAACCATCACTTAATTGTGTTGTTTTAGTACGAATGGTCACATACGAGGTCTTAAACAGATGGAAAAGCTGCCAAACTTGTGAAAATATAGTTAAAACACTTAAGACATTTTCCAAGTCAGTCCAACAGGTAAGACTGGAGTGTCTGTACCCAGGAATTATGTTTGTCACTACCTGATCTATATGCAAATAATCCTTATAAGCTTAAAACTCAAATCAAGGCCCAATTTAAGAATGAAAATATACAAGTGGGCCTGAATTTGGAAGTGAAAACAACAATAACAGGCTCGCCTTCTAAGGATATAAAAGGCATGTGGCAGCGGAGAATAAGAAACAAGGTTGAATTCATTACATTAAAACGTTGGCATTTATAAGCAGTCTAAATGTGTCATATGAGCACACAGAATCAGTGTTGTGATACATACTGGGTAGTCTCTGATAGTAGCTCTGCATGAGGCAGTCAGGAAACATAGGGAGGGGTAGGGCTGCTCGATTATGGCAAAAATGATAATCACGATTATTTTCACTGAAATTGAGATCTCGATTATTTGACGATATTTATTTAACAATAACAATGTGTTGAATAATGACTTTAAAGATTGTCAAAAATAATATAAAATAGTGTGCAAATACTGATAACAGTGCAAATGTTTGCAAAATGAAAAATGTAAACATCTATGTTTAGTGAACTTTGCAGTGTTGCTCTGTGGTGCAGCTACGACACCGTAGCAAAGTTTACAAAACTGTGTCTACTTGATCCACGTCTGACTCCACGAACCCATAATGTTTCCACACCACTGAAGTTTTTTTTTACCTCTCTTTTCAACCAACGGCAGTCACTCTCCTCTCCAAATAACTTCTGCTTAGCTTTCCGAGCTTCCCTCGGGTCCTCTTAATCAGCGGTCCCCAACCGCCGGGCCTCGGACCGGTACCGGTCCGTGAGTCGTTTGGTACCGGCCGCGAGAGTTGAGGCTCAGATGTGAAACGTACAGTTTTCAGGGTTTTTAATCGGTTTTCAGCGTTATTTTGTTATCGTTTACACTGTTTTCCTGGGTCTTTTCACCTGTGTTATGAATAAACCTTATTTCGGTACCGGTAGTTTTATTTTGTTGCATTTATCCGCGACACCTTAAAGGCCGGTCCATAAAAACATTGTCGGGCATAAACCGGTCCGTGGCGCAAAAAAGGTTGGAGACCGCTGCTCTTAATTGTTGTGACACGTGTTCGAAATGCAGAGAGGTGCGCTCGATTTGCCACACGGAGAGTAAAGCATGAGGGAGGGGCTAATAATCGGCTCAGTCATTTTTAATGATCGAATTGTAATTGTGATTACAATTCGATTAATTGAGCAGCCCTATGGAGGGGTAATGACCAGTGATGAACACGATTATATTTGTACTACAGAAGGAATCTATTCACTTATTGTCTTTGAGTCAATGTCTCTGCAGTTGTTTCCATTGTTTGCAGCCCAAGAGACATAGAAAGGACAACCAACATTAGGAGGTGCAACAACATGCGTTTCCCACTGAGTTTGTTTATATGCTTAAAAAAGAAGGAATGTGTGAGAGGCTGACCTGAGCGATGGCGGCCTCGTTGTCTGCCAGACCCAACAGGAAGACGCGAGCCTTGTCGATCTTCACAGGCACCGTGCGTCCTCGCCACTCCACTTCACTCATAGTGGCCGCCTGCTTGGTTCGCGCCTGAGTAATCAGTGCCTTGAGGGAAACAAAACAAACCCTTCTGGATGTAGTACACGATTACACAGCTGTGTAATATTCTTCTTTGGTATGTGCTCCCCCCAGCAGTTTAATCATGAATTACAGACTGATTAACAAAAGTTTTACCCCTTCGTGTTTACCTCTAGTTTCTCAGCCATCATGCCACCTCCTCCACCAGTCAGCCTCATCTGCATCAGGTCATTGATGGCATTCTGATCACCTAAAATCAAATACAACCAGGGAGTGAGTGTGTGTTTGTCAGTGTGCAGAGGAAGGACTGAACTCAGGATCGGTGTTGTGCATCAACAATGACACTGAGAAGAACGACTACAGCAATGCTGACCAATATTGTAAGCGCAGTAGCGAATGTTGGGCGATATCTCGTCTACACGCTGGCGGTACAGAACTGCCAGGTCCTCAGTGAAGGCACTGGCCAGCTTCTCATAAATGGTCCTGACAAGACAAAAGTATTTATCAGTGGTTTAAAAAAAGTGAAAGAAAAACAAACAAGGAAACCTCCCATTATTAAAAGAAGAATTAAAAAAACAAAAAACAGAGTGCAGTAATGTTAACGCTCACTTGCACTTGTTGAAAGCCTCCATGGCTTGTTTCCACTCCTGCAGCTCAAACTCCACCATTCCAGTCAGGTATGCAGTGTAGGCCTGAAATAACACCACAACACATGATGAGGAGCTCCTCTGTTCATTCCCTCACCACACTTCATCAACAGTAAAGGTGGGAATCACCAAGACTCTCCATGATATTATCACAATATTTCACTCGTGATATGATATTATTGTGATTTAACATTTTTGTGATATCTGCAGTAGCAAGTACTACAATTTATCATCATCTTTCAACTCCAAATTATGTCTCCAAAGTTACAGTTAAACTCATTTTTTTTCTCTTTTGTTGCAAAATAAGTACACAACACTGTCACTAAAGTTTGCTGTAGAAGTTGCCGTAAGACAGAATCAGTCTGCTTTGAGCCTGATATCAGTCTGCGATGGAACAGTGTCAAGTTGGCAGTTACATACATGGAAATCTGTTGTCTACGCAGACAGAAATGACCCTCTTTTCTACAAGAATATAGCCAGAATACAATCAGCTGGCAGCCAGTTTAGTTGAGTCCCCTCAAGTTGTGCTCACTGACACAGAGTCATTCAGACTGCTGGCAATCTGTCTGCATTTATAGATTAGAGAAAGCAATTATTCACAATCCTCTGCCAATTTCCCTGAATAACTGCAGTCAATCCAAAGGCACACTGCAACTGTTTGCAGAAAAGCTGCCCCCTCCAACCTTTCAGCCCTCTTGTTCAAAGTATTCCAAAAGTATTTTATTGATTAAAATATCAATATTTGGTGTCCCTGTGTAGATAAAATATCGTCATGGAATATTCTGCACTGTTTTTCTAATTAACAGTATTTGAAGTTCTGAAATCTTACAGTTGAAAGACAACAAATCGAAAAGTTAAAGTTATTCATCTCTGAGGCTGGGACCTCGCTGCACATCCACTTGTTATTCCACACACCTACACGGGTCAGTTAAGGTGAATTTGACCTGTGTACCTGTGCCTCCAGTTTAGTTTTGGCGTCCACACGGGGGCTTTCGCAGAGCTTCTCCAGCTTCTCACTGTGCTTTGCAGCCTTACGTAGTCGTGACAGCAGGTGGAAGCGCTTACGTGGCTCTGTATTGGCCTCCTGCTTCAACTGCATGGCGTAGCTCCATGCACGCTCTGCTTCCATCAAAACCAGCAGAAGATACCTGAAAAAAGGTGGCATAGCTGTATAAACAGTTTGTTTTTTATGTGAAAGCATCGAGCCGCTGAACTGTTCCACATCAAAGCAAAGTGATCTGTTTAAGTGTTTCAAACTGGAATTTCCTTAATGTAAAGGTTCCCAAACCAGCAGCCAGTTAACTACACGTGAATGACCAGTTAAAATTATCTAAGTCTAACCTGTTATCAGAAAGCATTTCCACAGTGACTTTCTTCCCAACAAACTTGTGTCGGTTTCCCATCTTGAAGCCAAGAGTCTTGCGGAGGCGCCGTAGCCTGCGGGAACAGTAGCCCCTGGAAACAGACAAGGATTTTTTTAATTCTACATTACAATAAATGAAATACAACATAGACAAAAAAAGTCACCACGAAACTTAATATGCAGGAAGATCAAAGAACATAAATTATCTATCACTATATCTTAAACTCCGCAAATATGAAAATGTGGCGAAGACAGGTGGACATCAAAAGCTTTGAGTTTAACTTTAATCCACACCTGTTCCATTTAACTGCATTAAACCATAAATCTGAGCCCAGCATTGTGAACAGAAGTCTCATGTCAGTGTCTTTACATTGGGTGGGAAAACTGCTGCACCACACACACAAATCTCCACCCTGTAATGTATGACCTGAGCCAGCTCACCTGTATCTCTGGTAGTCTCCATGCCTGAGGCCGTGCTGCTGCTGGGATTCTTTGATGATTTGCAAGACTGAGATTAAACGTTAAGGTACAAACCTCATGTAACCATCACACACGTTACTCTGAGGGGCAGTTAACCATTTATTTTCAAGCATGAACGTTTCAGTTTTGATAGCAGTTATTGTATGCAAGCACCAAGACAGGCTGTTTTAACTATTGTAACCGCTAATGAAACTCAAAGATGACATCACATAATAGCTAGCAATCTTAAAATATGTCCTCAGACCCCCAAAATAAATTGTGAATACATAAAAATCCCCATTTACCACTGACAGCCTGCTTCAGTATGACACGTAGCCTAATAACCGCTAGCTTATCTTCCAACTGAGTTAGCTAAAAGCTAACGTTAGCTTAAGAGCGTGAAACATGCTCGCAGAGGGAAAACGTCAAAGAGCACGTGTCGTGTTCTTAAGGATACTTTCCAGTCCGAGTCCTCCATCCGGTAAGTTTTCTTTATTTTCTTCCATTAGGGAAACTTTAGCGTCGTTTTGCTTGTCTGCGGCCATCGCTTCACGCTAACAGCTAAGCGGCACACATACACACATGCCCAGTCAGAGGTGCAGCCAGGGACCAATGAGTGCGCAGGGAGGGGCAAAGGGGCAAACTTCGCGAGACTTTGCTGATGTGCCTCATGATTCAGTCGATTTATACGCCCCACCGCCCCCGGAACAGCAAATAAACAAAAACAATCTAAATAAATTAAAAATAAAAAAAACTTTTCTTCTTCTTATTATCATTATCAATACAGCTACTGCTATTAATTATAATTAGAATAAATTATATCATCATAAAATTAAACCACCCCTCTTTGCCTTTAGCTTCCTCCCACAGAGCAAATAACATTAATAATATTCAGAGATTATAAAGGGATAGTCACCAATGTACTGACCAATTTATTTGTGTTTTATTATAGCAGTTTCAGTCCTCTGTACCTGTGTGGTATCATGCTGTATTTTAACTTTATATTTGAACTAAACTACAGTTTACTAATACGGTAAGACTATTTTCTTAACTGCTTGTTCCATTATTGTGAACAGTCTTTGAACCTTCAGGAAACAAGAATCAAAATTGCCATCAACAACCAGAAAAAACAATACAATATAAATATTAAAGAGGGATTCCATATCTTTTAATAGAAATGTAGAGACAAATCCAAAAGCTTCCTCCTCCATGACCACTATGTAGCCACCAATTACGCACAGATAAATAAACCTGATATAACCATGTCAGTGCCTTGAATGTACTGCGAAGAGACTGTAGGATCAGTAAGAGCTGAGTTAGCAAAGTTAAGAATACAAACTCTTGGGGTACACGTATACACACAGTGGGTTCATGTGCACCTCTATCCCAAAAAGTCTCTTATTTTTGGACAGCTCTGAGGAAATATGTTTCACAAGCATATCCCTGACCATAATTTTGTTTTTAAAAGGAATGCAAACTCAGGCAGGTGTTCGAAAAAACAGCAGGGGCATTCAGATGTTGTCAGCTGCAGAAATGTATCTGAATAGAAAGTTTTTGATCTCCGAGATGTGCATGGTCTCTTTGATGGTTGTGTCTCTGCTGCGGACCTGAAGAAGGCCACTTTCCAACGTGTTCTCACCGATGATGATGGTGAAAAGAACGCCCATCTCATCGTATCTGCATTACATCCACACAGAAACACACAGGCACGAGTTTAAAGAAAGGTAACATAATTCAATTTGCATTATGTGCTGATTTAACGGCCTTTACTTGGCATTCAGCTGCTCCATTGATGTTGGCAGAGTTTCAAGATATCCAGGCCACACAGAGATCTTTGCTTCCAGGAACTCCTGCAGAAGGCCTTCACAAATCTGAAGAAATATATTTAAAACACTTTTAATGCAATTTGATGCAAGTCCACAGAAGGAACACATTCAATCAGATCCTTTTAAAGTGAAAAATGTGTATTTGCACAGAAAAACTCCACAAAGAAAAAGCATGCAACATGTACTTCATGTTATCATTACCTGCCTCAGCTCCACAGTGGCTCCTCTACCAATATTTAAAGCCACTTTAATGGGAACCAACACTGGATGCAGCTTCAGCACCTGAAATCAACAGTGCAACAAATCTCATAAATAAAAGTCACGCCAGAAATAGGAAACCCGCTGACAGTTTTTCTGCACGTGCAGCGAGCTGTTAAGCACAATCACCTTTCTCTGGTGCAGCTTTTTCTTGCTCTCTTCTCTCTTCAGCTGCTGGAGTGAGTTGGACAGAAACGCCATCGCACCACGGTCCATGTTTGCGGTAACGGAGACGACATGAGGAATAGACCTTCGTCCATCTTGATGCTGAAAGAGGTCAGGTAAGAGAGATGACACTGCGTGTGATTAAACTGAAGAAAAGCAGCAACAGACGAGCAGCTGCCCGTGTTTCTTATGAGACCTGGTGGTTCTTCTTCCTAAAGCCGTTTAGTTCAACTGAGATTTCTGAAAGCCTCTATCAGCTGGGAGCTAAGGGAATTTTTGATATCAATTTGACTTCCTGTTTTAAGACATTGTCAGAGAACCAGAGCCTCTGCAATAGCAGCTTAGGAACATGACTGAATCTCGATCCCAACTTAAAGCACACTCTAAAAGAAGCAGACGGACCTGCAGTTTGGACCGGTCTCCTTTGTGTATGTGCAGCAGCTCGGCATCTCCTCGACTCCACAGTGTCTCCAGGACCTCCTGACCCCACGGGAAGTTGTAGATGATCCTCACACCGCGAGATGCCGCCTGTTCGAGCTCCTCCTGCTGGACTTCATTGCTGCTGAAGTCGGACGGGGAGAGGGCAAACTGGATAAACAGGACGAAACAAAGAGAAAAGCTGAGTTATTAATGTTTGTAGTTTATAAGGCTGGGAAAGTGTTCTTACAGGAAAATACATTTATGCACTGGTGCATCACACAGTTTTAAATTTGTCGGAGATGTTTCCCTCCTCAAAGACTCACTTTTCTCCACCACTTCAGCCTCTGTCGTGTCCAGTGGTCCAGCCACTGGGACGATGTACGAGGAGAGCAAAACCACACTAGAGATGTTTGCGTGACCTCAGCTGAGCTGACAGAAAATAGAACATACAGTGTGTTAATATGACATACTTACCTCATAAGGTCTGAAAAAGGTTAATGTGAACTCATGAAATACTGTATTAATATTAAAAGTCTAGCTCAGATAAACAATATAAAGAAACAAAATCCCAGTTTAGTTTGTTTGAATTTTTATTTTTCATAAGTGTATCCACACAGACACTCACACAGGTAAGAAACAACAGACGAAGCCTCACCAACCAGAGCCTTCTGCAGGCTGGAAGCACAGACCCGTCTCAGCCAGACCAAACGGCAGCTTCCTGTTCACCAGCTCTAACGAGGGGACAAACTGCTCCAAGGCACCTCGAAACAAAACAACACGCGTGAACCATCAAGACTAATTTGAAAAAAATAATAATTATTTTTTAGTTTTACAACAATGTAAAAGACAGAGACATGTTAAACAGAAATGTTACTAGCTGAGTTTCTGAAGCTGATGAGCACTTTCACACAACACTGAAGTCCTGGCAGTATCCTTAACATGGTATTTCAGCTCTTGCCATCATCTTTCAGAGTTTACTACAGTGTGAAAATAATATTCCAAGAACAGCTCGTTTCCATTCACCTTACTCAAACAAAAGTACCACAGTGTTGGCATCAAACTGCACAAACAAGTATCAAAAGTATTCATAAACCATTAAAAGAAATACATGGAAGACCATAAAAGCAATAACGTGAAACAGTTGGTATACACGGTGACTTTGCTTGTAGTTTATAAATCATCTGTGGTGTCATTACTTTACTGTGCATGTTTAATGCTAGCTCTCAGTATAGAAATAAAAACGTGTATGTTATGCTCTATTATCATCATTATTTATTACAGGTGTGTGAGGCAACTTACCTTGCAGTAAGTTTGTTCTCATACTTGGGGACCTCTGCAGGAGCATGTGCACCTCCTCAGCGAGCCGCCCCTTGCTTAGCTGCTTCTGCCCAAGTCTCTGTTTCAGCTGTTCACATTCAACAATCCTCAGCTGGCCCTGTCCACCTGTAGGTGCTTCCCTGCTGCTGCTCAGGGTGTTAATCCCAAAAACCTGAGCTCCGGACCTAGTCACTGAATGCCACCACTGGTCCAGCAGGTTTCTCCTGAGCTCCATGCCCAGAGGTCCATAGCTGCAGCACAGCCCGCGCTGAAACAGCTCCACGTTAGCGTGACCAGGAGAAACGAAGAACCTGTCCACGCAGAGCTGCAATAACGTAGTGACCTGGTCCACAGTCTCAGTCTGGGATGTGCTGCAGCGTCTCCAGCTGTGCCGCTTCAGCGTCACAGTGAATGCACTTCTAGACAGGATGTTTCTTACACACCGAGTAAACATGATGAAGAACCCGCTTCAGAGAAAGTTTCATTAGCAAACAACAAGCTTTAAATCCTGTAGATTTAAAATATTCGCTAAGTGTACGGTCCTAAGTGGCCGCATACCGCAGTGAAAAGATGAGTGCATACGGTGGTTTGAATAGTACATGTGAACTGGGCTCACTGTGTTAAACTCCCAATGAAAGCTAACTTTAGCGAACCTTGCTAAAAGCAGCGTCTACAAATACAGACGGCTGTCGGTGCATTTAAGAGTCGGACGGTTTCCCTGCTGTCACACATCTAATGTCCAATTAGCCGCTGCTCACACTTCAAATCTCATGGGAGACACACATTTCAGCGTTAGCAACGTATCTGTTACATGTGGTGGGTGATCCGGAAATTAAATCCTTATATCCGGGTAAAGGAGACTTTCAAAATAAAATGGAAACATCTACATCCTTCACCGATTCAGTGACATGAGTGCTTTTCTGGCTCACAGATTAAACTTAATTCGGAAGTGAATGGAGGTGGTGATTGAGTCTGTATTCATTACTGTACAAAAACAAAAATAGCAGTTTAATTTAAATAGATTTTTTTAAAGTTCATTTATCTGATTATAGCGTACACTATGATTATAAAACTACAAAAAAATGAAATTAAAAAAAGGGCACTTGAAAAAATTATAATATAGTTAATAGAAATGACTACACCTCTGATTTACCTTTAACCAATCCTTGACCTTTACTGTGAAATATTTAATATGTGTATTTCATTTGATTTCAGTTGAAAGTGCGTTGCATAGATGTCGCCAGGTGCTTGCTCATAGGGTGTCTTCTGAATATCTGAGGTTTCTCTGTATTATTTTGGGGTATTACCAGATAAAATCATCAATTGCACCATAAAACTTTCTTTCCATAGACATTATTCTCTGCGATAATTAAATAATAATAATACACCCCCCCCCCCAAAACAAAACAAAACAAACAGGCAGCCATGGGGTAGGGCCAGAATATTTTTGAAAGACTGCATCTCTCAGCTGGCTCGGGAACTCTTTGGTGTTCCCTAGAAAGAGCTGCAGGTTGGCAAAAGGTTTAAAGCTTTCCATTACGTGTTGTCCCAGTGACCCAGATAATCAACAGAAAAATGGATGGACACATGGGTGAAAATTGAGAAAAAAAACCCCAAAACAGCGGAACAGAGCTCTGCCAGCTTCCCTGTAACACCACTTAGAGGTAT